GAGAGGAGGGAGGGGCCTGTGAGAGAGGAGGGCGTGGCCTGTGGGAGAGGAGGGGCATTGGGAGAGGAGGGAGGGGCCTGTGGGAGAGGAGAGAGGGGCCCATGGGAGAGAAGGGACCTGTGGGAGTGGAGGGAGGGGCCTGTGGAAGAGGAGGGGCCTGTGGGAGTGGGAAAGCCTTAATGGAAGGATCAATTCCTAGAGGGCAGGGCTTAGAAAAGTCCGGAAGAATGGGCACCAACAGCTCTCAAGGACCTCGGAGGCGGGGCTATTAAGGAAGGCGGGGCTTCTCCCGCAGGGAAAGAGAGGGCTTCTGGAGGATGGGGCTCTTAGAGAAATGACTCAGGCGCCCTCATAGCAAGGACCAGCTTGCAAAGTACCGTGGCCTCAGCTTGGGGCTCTCAGAGAGGAGATAAGGGTACTGGAGCATGGGCCCTGGGGAGCACCCATCTCCCTTCTCTTCTTCCTATGCCCTCTCTGTGCCTCAGTTTCTCCTAGAGGAGAACCCAGCCCCAACCCTAGTTCCCAATCACCTCCCAGGGAGTGCTCAGCACCCCAATCCTACCCTGCTGGGCCTCGGCGGGCGCCAGGAGCAGTGCGGTCAGGAGGAGTAGCCTGCCCAAGGTGTCCATGGCCAACGCTGCGGACAGGTCGGCGTCCAGCTGCGGTGTGAACGGCCAGAGGCCCGGGTGGGGTTAAGACAGGGCGGGTGAGGGCGGGGAAGGAGGGGGCGGAGAACCTGCCGCCTGTGGCCTGGCCTCCTGTAACTGGCTGTGGGCCTCAGGCCCCCAGGCCCTGGAGGGCAGAGTCTGAGGCTGGTTTAATATTAACCTGGACTGTCCCTCCCCCCCCCTCGGCCCCGCACCTCCCATCCTGCCCTGGAGACGGCAGCCCTGCACCGTGCGACAGGTCCCCAGCATCCCCTGACAGAGGTCAGGCCGCATCAACACTATCTCCCACGCTCTCACAAGTGCATACAACCGGGTGTGGCAGTCAGGTTTGTGGCTGGAAAAGCTTTGCAGTTCTGGACCTGGCAAATCTGCGTAGCAGGATCGCTAGCTCGGTTAGAAGCAGGCGTCTAGGTCGATGTACCCATGCTCCTCTCCTGCCCTCAACCTTAGGCCTCAAGCTGATCAGATAGTGAACCCCACCTGGGCAAAGGGGCACCCCACCCAGGAGCGGCACAGGGCAGCCACAGCCTGGGCACGTGAAAAAAGATTCTAAAGAAACAGAGCTGGGGTGCCCTATCTGTCATCCCCGGACACGGGAACCCTGTGGCAGGAGGATGGCTAGTTCCAGGGCAAAGCGTTCTCCCAGAAAGCACTAGGCCCTAGGTTCCATCCCCAGTGCCCCAGAACCCAGGAGAGGTGGCATAGGTCTTCCAGCCCACCACTCAGAGGTGGGGCCATGGGATCAGGACTTCAAGGGTCATCCTCAGCTACATACCAAATGTGAGGGTCATCCTCAGCTACATACCAAGTGTGAGGCTGGCCTCACACCATCTGGGGGAAAATTGTTTTTTGTAACAGGGTTTCTCTGTGTAGACCAGGCTGTCCTGGAACTTCCTCTGTAGACCAGGCAAGCCTCAAACTCCCGATCCACCTGGCTCTACCTCCCGAGTGCTGGGATTAAGGATAGCTACCATCACCAGCTTGAAACATTTTTTAGAAAACTTCTAAACCAAAAGATTTAAAACTGTTGTGAGAGCATTTATAGAGCACCCTCTGTATACCCAGTGTCAGACAGAATCAAGGATTGTTGGGATAAATACCGGGCACAACCAGAAAAGACCTACTTCAACCAGCCAGGTACTAAACTCCTACTGTATGCCCGGCATGTGCTAAGAGGGCTCAGTCCAGATAGTTCATCAGGAGCCCAGACTGATGAGCTCCTTTTGCTCCGTAGGCCAGGCTGGCCTAGAACTCGCCATCCTGCCCCATAATCCTCCTGAGTGCTAAGGATGACAAGCCACAAATGCCTAACTCCACCGTGCTGTGTGGCAAGCTTCCTGAGACATCAGCCCAGACAGTTCTCAGTAACCTGCCTCAGTTTCCTGTCTCTGCTGGGAGAGTGACATGGGAATGTTTGGGACCAGATGGAGAGAGGAAGGTGGCGCTGCAGAGTTGGAACACTTTTATTTTTTTAAAGATTTATTTATTTATTTATTTATTTATTTATTTATTTATTTATTTATTATGTATACAGTGTTCTGCCTGCCTTTATGCCTGGAGGCCAGAAGAGGGTGCTGGATCTCATTACAGATGGCTGTGAACCACCATGTGGTTGCTGGGAACTGAACTCAGGACCTCTGGAAGAAAAGCCAGTGCTCTTAATCTCTGAGCCATCTCTCCAGCCTTTGTCACACTTTTAATTTGTATCTAAATTCAGCCTCGCTTTCTCCCCTTAACAGACACTGCTGATGCAGAAGGAGCCAGAATTATTCATAACGAATTAAAATTATCAGTGCCTGCAGCTGGCCCAGAGTGTATGAGGCCCTGGGCTCCATTTCCAGCAGCACAGAAACCAGGTGTGGTGGCCTGTCATCCCTGCCCTCGGGAGGACCATGAGTTCAAGGTCATCCTCTGCTACCCCTCACGTTCAAGGCTAGCTTGGGCTACTCAAAGTCTTAATAAGGTGGGGTTTGTGTCTGCAATCCCAGTACTCAAGCTGAGGTAGGGGGATTCTGAGCTTCAGGCCAGCCTGTGTCATATAACAGACACAGGTGGCCCAGCTGAGGTGGTGGGGGCACAGTGAGCATAAGAACGGCCAGGCCGGCCAGCCTCGCAGGTGCTGTCCCTCCTGGTCAGTCCAGCCTCCAAAAATCACCTTGCATGGGCGGGTCCCGGAAAGCGATGGAGGGGTGGCGAGGAGCCCGGGTGGGGTCCTCCTCCCCGCGCCAGGTCAGGGCCAGCTGAAGGTCCAGCTCTTCCAGGTCTTCCGCGGCCAAGCTGGCCGGGAGCTCCCGTGGGCCTTCCTCCTGGTCTGGCTTAGGGCCAAAGGCCCAGTCTGCAGTGAGGAGAAAAGCGAGGGCGTGGCTTGTCCCGCCCACCCTCCTTACCAGGCCTCGCCCCTCTGGTCCAGTTCCGCCCACCAGGGCCACGCCCACTTTCCCCGAACCAGTCCCGCCCATCTAGGGCCCCGCCCCTTTCTGGTCTAGCCCCGCCTCTCCCTGGTCAGGCTCCGCCCACCATCCCTGGCTCGACCCCATCCCTGGCTCAGCCCAGGCCCAGCTCCGCTCTTCACAAGGCCCGGCCCCACCCACCCCTGTTCCTGCCCCTTTCTGGCTCGGTCCCGCCCCCTCCCACTCCGGGCTCACCCCAGGCCCAGACCAAACCTGGTTCCCACGCCATCTGCGACCCCGCCCAGGCTATATTCGCGGCGGGTAGCATGGCTCACCGGCCAAGTCGTGAGCGAGGTCTTTGATGAGGTGGCCCACGATGGCGTAGGCCACGGCCACCACCAGGACGGCGGCCATCAGCAGGTACAGGGCATAGCGAGGCAGGCGGATGGCGTCCAGCGGAGGCGGCCGGTACTCCTCGTACATGGCCGGGGCCGGACTCCAGGCCCGTGCCTCGCTCGCCGACCCCGCCATGGCTGGCGACACCCTCCACCAGAGCCCGGAGCAGGAGATTAGGGGATAAGCTGCAAAGGATTAGGACGGCTGCTCCCATCTGTGGGTCCCCTCCCTCGATGGCTGTCATGGTTGTGACGCCGATTCGCCCACGCGAGGACCGTGCAAAGCCCGGGGCAGCTGTGGGGCGGAGGGACAGGGTCTCCCGGGGACCCTGGGTGGCAGCGGGCAGCGTGGACTCTCATGCGCGCCCTCTGGTGGCCACGGTGGGGAGGACAGATGTAGGGTGGGTCCCCAAGTGAGCGGAGCCCTAGGGGGTCCGCAAGTGACAGAGACACCCGGGTTCAGATCCGAGTTCTGAGAGCTGCTACATGCTGTGGCTGTCCCAGGCTCTGGTAGGGGCCATTTCCCTGGGACGAGGGGTTCGTGTTACCCCATGTGTCACTCTCCGGCTTCAAGGTGTCAGTAACCCCGTAAAATCCCAGAAACTGGCTGCGAGGGACACAAGACGCTGGGTTTTGTGGTGTGTAGATGAGCTTCATGCCTCTCCACCCCCAGCGGAAGACTGGAGGAGAGGGACCTGTGAGGAGAACCAGGGATGTGCAGGGCGTAGAGGGGGCCATGTGAGGGTGGTGCTCCCAGAGGGACATCCTGTAGACTTGGTTCCCAGGAGGCTGCCCATGGGCAGGATGGATGGAGGCTTGAGGAGTCTGGGCTGAGTGACCAATGAAGTGGAGAACGACCTGGCAGCCTCTCTGTGATATGAGGACCGGAGCGAGGGCCACCATCTGTGATCCTGGCATCCAGGAGACTGAGGCAGGAAGATTGTCATGAATTCAAGCTCATTGCACCCCGACTCAAAAAAAAAAAAAAGTTGCACACGATAGCGTATGGCGCCCATCACGGCACTGGTGGAGGCAGGGAGAACAGGGGCCACCCTGGACCACACCGGACACAGCCAGGAAAAGAACCAGCAGAGCAACGAGGGCTCAGGCGTTACAGCGCCAGCGGCTCTTGCAAAGCGACCACATCTAAAGAACACACACAGGACGAGGGCTAGCCCAGGCTAAAGCGCTCATCCCACAATCATGAGGACCACACTGCTGAGACAGGAGCATGACCAGTGCCGGGGGCTGACCCACACATCTGTCTACATTTGTACATAAATGGCACAGCCTCAGTCTCCCTTGGGGGCAAAGGCTGAGCCCTGAATTCCAGTGCAGGCACCCTGGCCATGTCCTCTTCCTGGGGAAGGGGGTCGGTCACTGGAGCAAGGCAAGCCTGTCCAGTGACTTGGACAGGGGGTACCCCAGAGAACACGAAATTGTGGGGCCAAAATGGGAATCCATAGCACAGGCTCCTAGCTGTACCTCTGTGTCCCCAAAAGCCAGACATACAAACAAGGCCATGTCGCTGTCCCCACACACCAGAAGCCACCATTTGTCAAAAATAACATTTTTATTGTGCATCGTCCTGGAGTCGGCTTGTGCTTCCTGATGGCCCAGAAGTGAGGCGCCCCATGCACTGCCCCTAACCCCGCGAAGTTGGAAGTATTCGCCAACCCGGAGATCTCACAGCCTTCCCCAGCAGCTCAAACCTGACCATTCCCTGGTATCTGGAAGCTCCCATACTGCAGTATGCCAGTCTGGAGCAATAAAATCATAGCCAGACAGCTCCAGAAGGGAGCACTGTGTACCAGCACCCAGCGAGGCAGCTGTGGAGGGTGGGAGTCAAGGCGGTACAACTGCCTAGCCCCCAAGTCTGGATAGTGGGCGCCGCTGGAAGTCCCATAGGCGGGCACGGCCAACAGAACCCTGCCCACTGCGGGATATCACAGATGGCAGAGTCCTGGGTAGTCCTAAGCGGTGGTGGGTGCTGTGGGGTCAGGGCGGCGGCCGCAGGCGCTCCAGCCCGTTGGCGTACTGGAAGTCCAGGCTACGCTCGTGCTCATACATGTCCAGCGCTACCTCGCAGCTCTCCCGTACCACGCGCTCGGCATCGGTGACGTGCTCCCGCAGCGCGGCCAGGCAGGCGGGCCTGGCGATGGCACCCAGGGCCTCTGCACATTCGTGTCGCACCATGGCGCTCTCGTTGGTCCGCGCCAGAGTGGCCGCCAGCTCGCCCACAGCCGCCTCGTGCTGCAGCTGGCCCAGCACGTATCCCACCTCATGGCGGAAGAGCGCGCTGCCGCAGCGCAGACCTGCATGTGAGCGCAGGAAAACGGTCAGGACACCTGCCTGGGGTGCCAGGGCAGGGACCTGCATGATCAAATGGTCAGGACCACCCAGGGCAAGTGACCAGGCAGTTTTCCCGGGCCCAAGCCAGGGTAGTATCGTTACCAGGTCCCATGTCCCAGGTCCAGCCTCACCTTCAGCCAGGGCCAAAGCCGCCTCCTCGCCACCCACGTTGCGCAGGGCAAACATGGCGCGGTACCGCTCAAAGAGTGGCCGCGCCTCGTCCAGCAGAGCCTCCCGCAGCCGTCCCACGTCCTGCTCGGCCGCAGGGGGTGCCGGGTCCACGGAGAGGTAGGGTCCTGTACTCCCGACCTCCCCAGGGTGCTGCTGCAACCACTCCAAACGCCCGACAGCCAGCTGGCACGTCTCAGCCACCTGTGAGGGTGGCAGAGGTGGCGTGGGTCCCCAAGGCTGGGTGTACAGGGCCCATCTGGCACATCTCCTCTCCGAGACTCACACCAGGCAAATGACTTCAGGCTGGACAGACCAAGGGGGCCCAAGCAGGCACTCAGCTGTGTGCAGAGGCCCTGTAGCTGGATTTCGTGGGCAGAAGGCAGGGGACAGGCTCATACACGGGAGCCCACGAAGAACAAGGCCAGAGAGTGGAAGCGAGCCTGGGGCCACAGGAGCCCTAGGACGCTGCAGTATTGCTCAGCTGTGAACACGAGAGAGGCTCTGGCACAAACACTGCATGAAGCCACCTTCAGGTCATGGTGGCCGGGGGCACAGACACAAAAGGACACACAGCGTGGGCTCCACAACAGCAACATACAGAGTGGGGATCCAGCATAGAAAGCTGATTCGTGGGTGAAGGGGGGTGGGCAGAAGTCAAATTCTCAAGGCTGAGGACCCAGGGCTTAGGGCTGACCCTGCCCCCATCTCGACAGCATCCTTTCCCAGGAAGTTGCCCTGGCAACCAGGCATGGACTCTACAGCTGGCCTCACAGGCCGGCCAATCTTCTCACCTCAACCACTGGGTCCGTAGAATACTGCTTGAGGAGGTCTAGAACTTCCGGGTTACCGATCGCCCCCAGAGCTTCCCCTAAGGAGACAAATCAGCCTTGCAGGGTTTCCATGGTGCCCAGGGGCTGCACATCAGCTTCTCAGCCGGCCAATCAGAATTCTTACCCCAGAGGTTGGCCCGCTGCGGCTAAAGCAGCCCCACCCCACCAGAAGTCATTAGACTAGGAGCTACACAAGCTTTGGGCCAGGAACGGGTGCCTCCTGGGACACGGGTGGCTTCCACCCCTCTCTGTTCACAGGCCCATGTGGCCCTCATCATCCTGGGGTCCTCACTGCAACCCTTCCCGCTAAGGCTGAGGGACGGACCTGAGCATGTTACAGGGTCGCGCCCCCACTCACTCACCCGCCTCGTGTCGCACCATTGGCTCCTGGCTCGTGTCGCACAACACGTCCACCAGCACTGGGATGGCGCGCGAGTCCTGCATCTGGCCCAGGCAGTAGGCCAACTCGTGCTTCAGCAGGGCAGAGCTGTCCTCGAAGGCCCGGCTGATCCAGGCGATAGCGTGCGGGCCCCCGAGCCCCCGCAGCGTGAACAGAGCCCGGAAGCGGGCCTGCAGGGGCTCCTTGGGGTCCACCAGGGTCTTCCCTATCGCCTCCACCTCCTGCTCCGTCACCATGGCGACGGCCTCCGGCAACCTGCCACAGAAAAGGGAGCGGGTGAAGCCCGTACTGAGGTGCACACCTGCTGCCCCAGTCCCGGGGATGCTGAGGCCGGGGGTCTCCCCCAAACCTCCATATTCACCACTTCCCAAGGAAGAAAATAAGAGCCCTGGCGCTGTTCGGCCATCTCCGTCACGGGAGGCGGCCTCACGCAGAAGCCATGGTTTCTGCTGTGCTGCTCTCTCGGCCGCTGGCTCGCACGGCTTCTCCCATGTCACAGGCTCCACACGATGCCCAAAGGAGGAGGCACGGACAGAAACCAGGCCCTGGGGACCTGGTCCTGGAGAATGATCCAGTGACCCCATCTCCTGGGACTCAAACCCCGAACTGAGGACAGTCCCTCTTCAGGACAGTTTGAATGACAGATCTGGAAACTGGATCTCACGGCTGCCTGACTGATCCTCCCACGACTTTACGTGAGACTCCTCCACAGTCGCCGAAGCCCCGTGCGACACACTTGACTTCATTCCTCCCCTCCAGCCTGTGTCCTCGGGACGCCTCCCTGCTCCCGCCCCAGCTTTGCACAGGTTTCCCCCTGCACGGCCTGACAGGCGCAGGAGGACACACCCAGCTCACAGACACTCTCTCATGGGTGAATTAGCACGGAAGCAGACATCTACAGGTAAGAGAAGGGCGCCAGCAAAGACCCTGGAGGATGCGTGCCAAACAGGACTAATAGGCTGTGCCAAGCTGGAAGGTCCTCCTGGGCTCTGATGTCAGCCAGCTGCCCCCGGGTTTAATAAGGGAGGCATGGCTGCCCAGCAGGGACGCCCAGCACCTCGCTGGAGACGCTGAAGCAGGGGGATGGCCGGTCCCAGGAGATTCTGCTTCCAAAAACGGGAGGCCCTGTGTCGGGCGGCGAAGTGGCCCGAGTCCCCAGGGGAAGCCATGGCGGGGCGGTGGGGCCCCGCCGCAGTCAGTCCCCCGGAGGCACTTCCGGCGCCCCTCACCGTGCTCTCGGCCACGGAGACTCGACGCTGACTCCGCACACACAGGACGCGTCGACGCAGGTCGCGGTGACGGCGCCACGGACAAGAGGAGAGCTGGTCAGCAGCCGCGGCGAGCGCAGTTCAGCCTAGGCGCCGCCATCTCGGCGACCACGTGACAAGGCCGGGCGGAACCAGACCTCAGAGACGGAGGAGCGACTTCCGGTCTTCCTCCGGAAGAGGATTCTCTACCCTGCCCGTTCCTAGAAAAATCAAAATGGTTTGTTCTTAAAGTTCGACAGAGCATGCGCGAGTCTTTGGGGCGTGGCTCTACTGCCGGGGGCGTGGCCAATGATCTGGGGCCGCAAGAAAAGGTGGGCGAAAGAGGGCTTAGCTACCAGCTCAGCGGGTGAGGGCGCTTGCAGTCAAACCCAAGTTCCATCTTGGGGGCCATGGCTAGACAAAGAGCATCATCAGGCTTGCAGTGACATGCGCATGAAATCGATATTTAGAAATGTTGTTTTGTTTTGTTTTTCGAGACAGGGTTTCTTTGTAGCTTTGGAGCCTGTCCTGGAACTAGCTCTTGTAGACCAGACTGGCCTCGACCTCACTGAGATCAGCCTGCCTCTGCCTCACGAGTGCTGCCGCCACCACCACCCTGCGATGTTTAGAAATTTAAATACAGTGCTGGAGAGATGTTTCAGCAGTTAGAGACTGGCTGCTCTTGCAGAGGATGGAGGTTCCATTCCCAACACCACACGGTGGCTCACAACTGTCTAACTCTAGTTCCAGGGGATCTGACACCCTCACACCAGTGCATATAAAATAAAATTTTTAAAAAAATACATCATATGTGCGTGAAGATGCCATAATGAAGTTCATTATTACATAGTTGTGTAAATTTAATCTATGATAATGATGTTTTAAAAATAAAAGTAAAGTGAAAGCAAGATGAAAATACACTATATATTGATCAAAATGCCCTCAGCTAGGCCGTTATTATATGGGCTCGTATGATATATTGAATAAATATGGAAAACAGAAATGTGAGTACATATGATGACGATACACAATGTATATTTGTGGACGTGCCAAAAAAAAAGTTAAAATAAAATGAACACTAAACTGGGAATCATTTTAAAACATTTCATAGCCAGACAGTGGTGGGGCATGCTTTTGATTCCAGTATTCAGGAGGCAGAGTCAGGCGGATCTCTGTGAGTTCGAGGCCAGCCTGGTCTACAGGGTGAGTTCCAGGACAGTCAGGGCTACACAGAGGAAACTCTGTCTCAAAACAAAATAGAAAATAAGTGAAAACCACCGCCACTCTTTCATTGAGATATTGAGTCATCTGTCAGTCCTCTGTGGGAAGGCAGGACAGTGAGCTGCACTCCTGGCTCAGTCCAGCTGCACCATCTGATTTAATTTCCTCTCAAGACTATGTTTTTTTGTTTTATGTTTTGGTTTTTTTTTAAAGATTTATATTTATTATGTATAC